TTAAGATTGTGAGATCCATGAACAACAGAGCCATTTCATCAACTATTAGTTCCTGAATCATTTGGGGCTTAAAATTTAATGTATGTATTAAAAGTTCTGATTTGGTAAAGCAATGATAGACTTGCTCTATGAAACAACTTAACAGCAATTAATTATGACTAATTTCACCACAATGGAATATATATATATGTGTGTATATATACATATATACCATTATACATACATAGATACAAATATATATACATACACACATTTACAAATATACACATAAAAATATGTACATATATACACACACATATATATACATATATATATAATGGAATATCACTCAGTCATAAAAAAGAATGAAATCTTGCCATTTGTGGCAACATGGCTGAACCCAGAGGGTATTAAGTTAAGTGCAACAGAGAAAGACAAATAATATATGATTTCACTTATATGTGGAATCTAAAAAAACAAAACAAATATATGAAAACAAACAGGTGGTTGCCAGAGGGGAGGGGGTCTGGGGACTGTACAAAATAGATAAGGAGAATTAAGAGGTACAAACTTACAGCTGCAATATTAATGAGTCATGGGAATGAAATGTACAGCATGGGGAATATAGTCAATAATAATGTAGTATCTTTGTATGATGATGATGGTGGTCAAAAGGTACAAACTTCCAGTTATAAGATAAATAAGTACCACGGATGTAATGTAAATCAGGATTAATATCAATATAATTAACACTGCTCTGTTATATATGAAAATTGTCAAGAGAATAAATCCTGAGTTCCCATCACAAGGAAATTTTTTCTTTTCTTTTATATTTATATGAGATGATAGTCACTAAACTTATCATGGCAATTATTTCATGATGTATATAAGCAAATCATTATCCTATACACCTTACATTTGTATAATGCTGTATGTCAATTATTTCCCAATAAAACTGGAAGGAAAAAAAAAAGTAGTCAGTCCCCTGTCTGCTGCCTAGAGTCATTTTTAGGCATCCTGATTCAGTTTCATAGTATTATTAACAAATTACTATGCTTAAACATTTTAGAGTAAATCTCTTTTTGCAGGTTCAGGTGATAATTCAATCATCTTATATAAAGAGGACTTCTGAAATTAAAATTTTTAGAGTGTTCACACCATATGCCATGCCCTCTGCTAGATAGACATTTTATAAACATATCCAATTTAATCCTCATTTGAAAAAACACAAACAAGAAAAATCTTATAGGGCGATTAATATTGTACTCATTTAATGATGTGGAAAACAAGGCTAGATAAATAAGTAATTTGCCCAAGGCCTCCAGATTAGTATAGCCTTGAGTTTTAAACAAACAGTGTACATGTAAACGTTCATGACTTATCATTGCCAGAGACTGCTTATTGTTCCACAGCATCACATTTTTCTTTTTCTTGATAGTATAATATTCAACTGGGTATTTGTTGCCCCGACAGACTACATTTTTTGCAGATCCCCTGCAGCTATTGTGTGGGTATATGACCAAATCTAGCCTAAGTTATGCACACAATTTTTGGGTTGTGCCTTATATTCTTCTTTCCTAAGGATGGAGTAAGGACGTAATGGCAAGAGCAAAGCAGCCATACTAAAGCATGGAAACCCTGTTTTGAGAATGGCTGAAAACAAGATATAAGCAAACTTTGTCTCCAACAGTATTAAGCTGATGTAACAATCTTGGACAGACTACCTAGATGTTTCTATTTGTGTAAGTTCTTGTATCTTTGTGTATATTTGTCTTTTATAATATGTGTAGTGTAACCCTTCGGTAAAATAGCCTGATGATACAGCATAAGTAATGTATCATTGTTCATATTTTTCTTGTAGGTAACCCAACCATCAATGGTGAATTTGAATAAGACTTATTCTACCTTACTATGATGATCATGATTTATGAAGACATTTCGCTTGTAATGCTAGAGAAGAATACACAAAGAAATCAAACTTCAGTTTTTCCATCCTTTATGTTATAATTTTAAAACATATTAATGTAAATGTATCAAGTACGTGTGATTAAAAACAATAACATTTTATGTACCTAAACTAACTCTATATTATAATTGCACGTTAAAAGGTAGACTCATATTCATGTATTGGTGACAGTTTTAACATTAGATAGTATCTGTCAAAACTACCACTCAAATGTCTGAAGTTTAAACGTACATACACACAACAACAACAAAGTAACTATAATTGCAAATAAAACAAAAAGTGAAACACAAATGATTAAAGTGACAAATAAACTGCATAATAGAAATTACATATAGATCATGAAAACCCTTTATCTAGCACAGCACTGTGGCATAAGAAAGTGGCAAAATTTGTGTAGTTGTTTCCTTTGAAAATAAAAATTATTCAAGAAATAGATGTATAGGCAGAAAGTAACAGCAAATAGAGAGCCCATTGTGGGTAGTTCACTGTGATGAGGATGCCTCGAGAACCAAAGTACTGGACTAAGTGTTATCATACAAAAATAATCTGTCCTTACTTTTGCATTAAAATTTCAATTACCTCTTTAGCAAATTTACTTTAACAGACTCCCATATTATTTAGACTCATTCATTTTACTTTTTGTAATTTTCCAGTAATTGAGAAAGTAGCATGTGCATAGGTATATAAAAATTTTAAATCATACTTTTCCTTAAGTAAAATGAGAAAATTCCTAAATTATCTAAATTATGTATCTTAAAATTAAGAACTTTTTGTGACATTAGAAGAGAAGGCATTACTGTTAGTATTTCAAATTTATGCAGTTAGATACTTACTAGGTAAATAATAAAAACAATTTGTGAAGACAAAAAAAAATTAAATGATAAGATGGCATTGTGTCCATTTTAAAGGGGTATTTTATGTTTAAAGGCATGGAATATCCTAAAATGTTTACTTTTTAAATATAAAAGTATGGAATAAAACATTTTAAATCCATTTAATAGAGGTATTAATTGCATACTACTTAGGTGTAATAGTTGTTATATTGCTGTACCTACAACTATATTTACATACATATATCTATAGCTATACTTTAATCTAAAAATAGTATTGTACTAGTGATGAAGGCATTCTTCCTACTGTAGTACTTCCTAATTAGCTTTTTCTCTTTCTCAGTAGGTCAAATCCAGGTCAGAGCACAATTACACATAATTAAGTTGAAAAACAGACATATCATTCTACCTCATTTTTTGATTTTCACATTTTTATTTTCTCTAGTAAGACTCTGCATGAATCTATATGGGCAGTGCATCATTTCTCATTCCAAAAGAAGAAATACTGCTCAACATCACTAATCATTAGACAAATGCAAATCAAAACTACAATGAGGTATCACCTCACACCAGTCAGAATGGCCATCATCAAAAAATCTACAAACAATGAACGCTGGAGAGGGTGTGGAGAAAAGGGAACCCTCTTGCACTCTTGGTGGGAATGTAAATTGATACAGCCACTATGGAGAACAGTATGGAGGTTCCTTAA